CATGTAGTGTAGCACATGGAAAAAGTCATTATATACACTGGGGATTCAAGAGTTTAATCCGTTCCACAACAGCGCTGTATCTCGATTGGATTTTCCCCATTAAGAATAACTAACTCTCTTCTATCTAAACATCAAAAACATAGATATAAACAAATATATTGATAATATAAAATAATAATAATTAAAAAAACATTTTATATTATTGTTATAAAAAGGGTGGCGCTTTGGCCCAGAGGCAGTGTCTCTGTCATTGGTGTGGAACCCCAGGGTTCACCTCCATTGAATCCCAGTTAAGGCGGTTGGTACCTTCCAGTGGACTCACCACCTGCAGGAAGGTTCAGGGGGGTTGGGACGGTGCAGTGGGATTTGGGTGGTGGTCATGGAGACTGCTGCCCCCATGACCCGGTAACGGATAAGCGGATGAAAATGGATGGATGTTATAAAAAGTGTAAAATAACCAAGTGAGGGAGAGTGAGTGCGACAGCACAACAGCGTTGATTGGAAAAATGGAGCTCAGTTGAGCACTTGTAACTCGGTGTTTCCTCGTATCATGATGAAAATCGTATTGCTTACTCGTAACTTGAAGAACAAGAACTGTATTAAGAAATGTTTGTCCTTCACCCGTGCCACAGTTCAAGATACACAGACAGATATATGTTTTTCTCCCAGTAGAATTGAAACTATAATTTGTAAATTCAAGTCCTAGTCTGACACGATAGGTCAGGGGAAAGCAACTCCAGGCTCAAGTCGACCTGCAATGTGTATAAATGTGACATGACCCCAGTGTGTCCCCAGACCCTCACCTATCCACATGTGGATGTCGGCCCCCAGTTCACCACGGTTCTCCAGCACCAGGTAGGAATCGCCGTTGAAGAAGGCTCCCACCTCGGAGGGATCCAGTGGCACTGCCTTCATCTTCTCCACCCTCCATACTCTGAGGCCCGGCTCCCGGGCCTCTGGACCAAACTGACCTGGTGCAGCCTGGAATGGGAGCATACTGCAGGCCAAGGACAGAGAAGAAGATGACTTGTGTGACTAATCTGGAGAACAGAAGTGGGGCTAAAACAGGAAGATGTGTCACTGTCTCCTCTGTCTTATAGGAATGGATTCTACGTTTTGGATGATGTGACGAGAAGTAAAAACAGAAGTGGACAAAACCCCATGATGTGGTTGAGCTGCTCCCACACCTAACAGTCCACACAAACACTGTCTTGAAGGCCAGTGTTTGCATTCAGTGCAACACAACACCAAGCACACCTCAAAAAACAACAACAACACTTACAAGACTGCACTAATGGTATTGCGCTAAACCAAGCGCAGCCACATGCAAGCTGGATCATGTCACAGTGTCATAGTGAATGAGTCACTTCAATGTATGTTTCCAATCCACCTCACAGGCTTCTTTTTCCACACTGGAAAAATATGTGAATGTGTCCGATCTTGTTTTTCTGTGATGCGTGCACCGCCAAGGAAGTTTGTTTAGAGAAAATCTCACCGTGTTTTCTGACTTACGACATAACGTATTGTTAAATTATTTATTATTTTGTACCGGAATCATTTCTTAGGCAATTACTTGCAAATTCCAGAAGAAAATGGTGCCACAACTGCTAAGACCACATACAAATTTTGAATTTGTATCTTTTATATATTTTAGCACTCAATACAGTACTTTTTTAAGAATTTTCCTAAATTATTATAAATAAATGTTTTTTTTTTTTTTATTAATCCTCATCCACTATGTTTGTTTTGGTAGATATGACGTGTTGCTGACAAGAGCCAACAGCTTCATAGTTCACACTGGACGATAACAGCTGCAGAGGACATATGGGATGCCACTCACTAACAACAATAACCACATCCTCTGTTACAACCATAGTGACAAGGCACTATTTTCATGCAACGGTAAACAACAACCACTCTGCCGTGACGTTTCTTAACCTTCATGTGGTGAGAAAAGATCATAACAACGTGATTGCTTTATTTAGTCTCCAGAGCTGATCATTTTGTCTTCTTTACTGAGCTCCTCCAAAACTGTGCATAAATCTATACTTTCTCAAATTAGATTCTGTTTAAAGCAGCTGCTGTTAACAAATGAACAGGATGTTGTTCTGCTCATGAATATATTGAATATATTTCTTTTCTAATTCTTCTGTTTCTAGGCACCATAAACACATTTTTGAGGACCTCTCATCTCAGACAAGTATTCTTTGAAAGGAGATTTTTTATTTGTTAGGTTTCCTCATTATAAAATAATTGCAGGACTGTGAAGTGAAGCAACATGTCACAGCCTGTGAACTGCTGTGGGAGCTCATGTACAGTAGGTGGGATTTGAAATGCAAGTCTGTTCTTATCAGAGTTAATTACTGGTATTTAGACAAAGCCCCAGTCTGGAGCCTGTAAACAACAATTAATCAAATTGGTTTTTAATCAAAACCTTCCAAAATATGTTGTCGAAACTCCAAAACTCTAAGTTAAAATGATCACAAGAACCCTAACTTCTTTTATTGAAATGTGCATCAACTTGGTCATGGTAAACTTTAAAGGTAACACATTATAATCAGAATCGTCTTTGCAGCTTTTTAAAAAAAAATTCCATGTGGACCGTAATGGATTTGCAGGTTAATAACCAGTGACCAGTGGTCAGGGCGATGCTGTCTTGGTTTATGTACTGTAGCACAGGTGTCAAACCCAGGCCCACATATCAAATTTGTAGTATTAGTATTAGTGGCCTGGCATGTTTACACAAACAACATTACACATCTGGAGAGAAGACAGTTGCAGACCCAGTTTCACTGTGAATTTGAGTTTGACACCCCAGTACTAGAGCAGAAAGGCCCACTCTCCTCCTTAGCTGTATATCTCTAACAACATGCTTAAATGTCTAAGCCCCTTCCAGTGCTAACCTTAAAATAACTACTGAAAAAAGACATAAATGAATAACATTTAATATATATATATATATATATATATATATATATATACACACAACCAAGCACACTGATTGAGTGGCTGACTTCATTAGGTTGTGAAAACGGTGCAGTAAAGAGAAACGGAGCGGAGCAGGGAAACAGAGGAGACCAGGCCTGAGGCCTCACTCCTGTGGTTAAAGTTACCTGCTCTGAGAGAAGACAACGAAGTAGAGGAGAGACAAAACAGCTCTGGGTCACTTAACTGTACGAACTCCTCTGGTACCTGCGGCATCCTGTCTGACTCCAGTTCCATTCTGTCTGTCCACTGGAGTGTGAGTGTTTGGACTCGTGAGATGAAGAGGCGTGTGTTTGTGTGTGTGTGTTCACCTGGATGAGTTAGTTTATATGCAGCAGGTAACTGGAGCCTGCATGGTGAAAGCTTAGCTGCAGCTTGGGGATAGGACGCTTGCTTTGTGTGTGTGTGTGTGTGTGTGTGTGTGTGTGTGTGTGTGTGTGAGAGTGTGTGAGTGAGGAGAGGGGATTGTAGAGTCAGGTTCCTGGTTCCTGGCTTAAGCGAAACACCAATTGGATAATTACAGGAATAGCTGGCTACTCCATCTTTCCACCCTTCCACACTCCTCATCCATTTGCTCCTTAATTTTGTCTCTTGTTCTTAATGCTAAGCATTGCTCATCCAACCCAGAACATTATTGATTTATTACATATTCAGATAGAGGCCCGTGGGCCACAAACAACCCAAACACATCCTCAGGGAAGTAGACACTTGGGGAGAAACAGAGAAAAAAAAAGAGAAAGATATTGATATTGATCCATTTCTTTGTCCAGTGAACAAAGAAATGTAAAGAGGGAGAAAGAATGTAAACAGAATAGAAAGATGAAGCAGAAAAAGTGGTTGGCAGTGGTTATGTTCATCTAACATGAGAATGGTGTCTATTTTGATGGGTGGCAACATCTTGTGGAGCAGCCTGTGGTTAAGGTATCAGGTATAATTCCCAATCCTGGCATGGAAAAAACTCCCCATAAAGTTCCCTCTACTTCAGTTTCTTGTAGGGTTAAAATGGAGAGAAGTGTATGTGTATGTGTGTGTGTGTGTGTGTGGGTGTGTGTTTTGTTTAGACTGGATAAATGAATGAAAAGCATTGCTGACTGACTTTCACTAAGAAAGTGGAAAAGTGAATATTAGCAATATTTTGGTTTTTCTTCATATAATAAATGAAACATACGGGGATACATTCAACACCACAGTGTGAACAGACAAAAAGTCTGCTCTTTAGACAAAGCAGCAAAAAAGAGAAAAGCAGTCATTGTCCCACTGTGAGATTCCTGAGTTGAGTCCTCAGGAATGTGATGAGACAAAAACAAACAAACAAACAAAAAAACACTCAGATAAGATTTTAGTGTTAGCTAAAGTAGGAAGAGTAGGTGCAGGAATACTAAAGTGACTTTAAGACTCTTAGCCTGAAGAACAACAACAAAAAAAGCTTACCTTTGGGAAATGAGTCGCTACACAACACGTCTGAGCTGAGAGCAAAAAAGAAAACAAGTTGGGCAAGGACAAACTCCCTAAACTAAAATTCTCTCTCTCTCTCTCTCTCACACACACACACACACACAGATTTCCTTCCTCTCTGGTCGTCTCAGCCCACGCCCCTCCTGACTCATTGCAAACTGCTGTAACTTGACTTCAGTCAGGAGTTTTCAAACTACAGGCATTTAGGAAACAAAAAGTGGCTTCAAAAAGCTTAGGAAAGTGTCTGACAAAAGAATCATATGAATCATAAAATGTATATATTGTATAAAAGGAATATTTACAAAGTTCCAAAATTCACAACATTTTTAATAATACAATGATTGCTAAGAAAAGCGTTAACAATTCCCCACAGGATAAAAGGTAAAAAATATAATAAAAATATAATAATCATAAAATAGACAAAGGTGATTTCAAACAGGAGCTTAAATAACAAAAAGGCCTTAACCAATATTATCTTACAATTTTGCCAAAAAACAGTCAAAAATGTGTAAAAAATCAAACAAAAATGACTAAAAACTCTCTGAATGACAAGTAAAGTAAAAAAAAGCAAAACAGTTATAATCTTTTTACATTTTAAACATATTTTTTTATTCCCCTTCCTGTTGTTGATAATTCATTTAATGTTTAGAAAATATCACCATGGCAACTAAGCTGAATGACAGCTGTAAGTCATACAGGTATTTCCTCTGGTTGGACACACCTGTGTTTGCAGCATAGTTATAATTATGTTATTCTCTCTGTGTGTCCTGCCACACATTCACAGCTTTGATTTATCATTTGCACTGGCACATGTTACAAAGATGAGTTCTTCCTTTTCTATGTACATCTTTTGTCATTTAAGTAAATGTATATGCATATGTAAAAAAATAATAATAAATAAATACAGTTTTAGCAAGAGAATAGGAGATAATCAATATATTTCAATATATTTCGCGAATACTGTGTTGCTGTTTATTACATACATTATTGTCTATATATATGTAAATATACATATATAATATACATATCGTTCTGTACCCGGCTCACGCATGCGCAAACAGGTTATCCTGCGCAACGCCGTTGCTCGAATGAAGTTTGTCCAAGTGGATTTGCCGTTTTTCCGCTGTCCAAGATGGCGCCAATATGGCGCACGCGCAAATGGCAGCTTCGCAGATCAGGCAGTGACCCCGATATACACCAGCAAAGCATTATATCCCATCATGCATTGCAGTCGTGACTACATTGTAGCAGAATCCGTCCGTTCGTTTTAATTGTCCGACAATCACTACTATGTTTTTGACTGAGTTTGTCATTGTTCTTGTAAGATTGTTTGTTTAAATAAAGTTAAAATAAAGTTTTAATTGTCCGACAGTAATTACGTAATTCACTGCGCCGAAATAGTGACGTTTTTCATTTAACTGTTGATGGTGCACTATATATCTATATGTAGCTATACTATATATAACTCTTATATATGGAGAAGGGAATGAGTAAGTTATTTTAGAAACAGTCGCATAATTTCTCTCGAAACTTCCGGTTAGAGAAGAAATAAATCGAGTGTGTGGTAAAAACGTTACTAAGTGGAACGTTTATGGCTCACAGGAACAGGAAATGGTGAACCGTGCCGACTCTCGAAAAATAATGTATTTCACTCCTAATTATAAATGATGTGATATATGATATCATATATTATTGAACTGCCATTTTGGCTCTATTAAAGACAAAGTCAAAATATGAAAAAATATAAAATGTATTTGTTGAAAAAGAGGCAAAACACTAAGGTCTTAGTGGGAACGTTCTGACAGGTTCCTTAATTAGCAGGTTAACGCTTAGCATGTGTGGGTAAAAATATATATTGTATAAAATTAGTATTTACATAGTTCAAAATTTCAGGATAATTTTAAAAAGCCCAGAGAATTTGAAATGTTTTTAATGGTCAGACTCAAAGGATTTTATTATAATTTAGAGTGACACTGCTTTTTTCTCTTCATATCTTTTCCCAGGAACTTCATGGAATGTTTAAACCACCTGTTTTGTGGCTTGTTCTTCACAAACACATGTCTACCTGCAGCCCTGAAGGGTCTTCTATTAGAACTGTCCAACACATTCACAGGTAAATAACTCTGAGATTTGTTCTACAACTACTGATTTTAATAGTGATAACTCAGGGATAACTAGTTAAGTTCAGTACTACAATAACAAATGCTGTACTGTGTAACATTTTATTCTTCTGCATGTTATGGAAAAAAGCAAAAGACAAAAAAAAAAAAATAAATGTAGTAAAACTTTTATTCATTTTTCAAGTCAAAAAAAAAAAACAGAACAAAGATACAGAGAATGAGATAATGAATCAATTTTACTATACAGTGGCAATTTTTTTAAGTTAAACCTTCCTTCTCTTAGATGTCTTTCCTCTTCTTAAAACCCTGTCTCACCCTCCGGACACAAACTAACTGCACATGCATACATACTTTACTAATCATTCATTCAGCCTGAGAGTCTTGATGTTTGCTACCCAGGTAAGACAACAGGGCTGGGAAGCAAATACCAAACCCTGTTTAAGTCAGAGGCCAAAGTTGAATGCCTCACAGCTTGAAGCAATATTTGGAAAAAAATAAATCAGACCTGTCATTCTAAATTGTGAGTAAAGAATTTAAGAAACTACTGTATATTTCTTCTAAGGACTCCCAGTCTGATCAGAAACATCCCCAACCTCCCATTCCCCTCATCTCAGGTACATACAATGGAAGAACAAACACTGATTTCAGAATGAGGATGGCTTGTGGATGAAGAGGTAAGAGGGAGGAGACCCAGCTTTGAAAATAACAGCATTTAATAATAGCATTGTATGATCAAATGGAAAGTGTAAAAAAAAAAGAAAAGTTTTCATTGTCTTTAAGCACACTGACGCTTCTCTACCACAGTCAAACTGGGTCAAATCACACGAGAAAGCAGCCATTCTCAAAACTAAGTTCACACTAATGTAGTGGGTAAGAGTTTTTAAATAGAGAGGCCAAATGTAATGTTTTTTGGACAATCTCTGCTTAAAAGAAAATCAAAACTTTCCAGAGTTAGGTGGAGAAAACGACGAGCCCTGCCCTCTAGTGTCAGGGAGTGAGCACACCATAACGAGCTGTATGTATGCTGTCCCTTTAATCTGAAACTTGAACTCTGAACTAAAATTATGCCATGCAACAATTTACAGCAGTTTATGAAACGAAAAAGCATTAGGAAAAAAAGGTCTCCCCTTCGTATCCTTCCCCTTCATCCACAACAAGGGAACATAAGCCTCCTGCAAACAGGTTTACAAAGTCACCAAAAGCAAACAAGAGGGAAAAATAAAATCCCCTTTTGGAAAATAAAAAGACAATTCTATTTTCTCCTCATTTATATTCACACAGAATAGTATTTTCTTAAATAAACCATAGAGTCCAAATAAACCTGTGACATCAACTATTAGAAATGGGTCACAGATTAACCAGAGGGAAAAGTTGTCAACCTAACATTTGATTAAAATGTAATAGCATGTGCTTCTCATGCACAACCACAAAAGCATCAAATGACAAAAGGAGAAATCCTCATACGATTTAAAATTAAAGGCAGAATCTGAATTCTGACTTTTTCAACAAAAAAAATCTTAAATTCCCCTGTTCTGAGGAAAGAATAAATTCTGGAAAAAAAAGATTTTTTTTTTTTGCTGCTGATGGACAATTTTGCAACAATGGCAGAGGAATAGAGGATGCTGGTGGGTGCCGTTATGACATCTTTTAGATTTTTTTGTGTTGGGGTGTGAAGGAGAAGGTAGAGGGCGGAGGATAATGTGTTCGTACACATATTAGCCAATGGATGTTTTCACACTCTGCCTGTAGGACAACAAACGTCCAAACTATTATTCATCCAGAAAAGTGGCAACTGTTGTGTCTACAAAAGCAGCAAAAAGACTAACAGGAGACACTTCTGTGAAATATGCAGTGAACAGAGTCTAAATTTTGATTTTTTTGTTTCCTTTTAAAAGGCTCTCTACTGAGCTTATGCTTTAGTGATGAATACAATCCACTTGGATTTCCCACAAAAAAGGCTTTTGGCAAAATGTAACCTTTCTAGGAACAAATACACCCAACACTTAGAGAAAAAGAGAACGTCTGGATGTTTGACATTAGAAACAGGGCATTTCTCGTATTCACATTTTCCTCTCCTTTTCCCCCCCCCCTCTTGGGATAGGTGTTATCACTTCAACACCTCCGTGGTGAAACTTAAAAAACTATTTCACAAGGCAGCCTATACTTATATCCTTCAGGCAAAGCAGTTCATCTTTTTCATGTTGAGTTTTAACATTTTTTTGTGGTTGTGGCTAAGGTGGAGTAAGCTCCCTCCCCCAAGTCATAGACAGAGGTCCCAAAGTTAGGATTTAAACCTAGAGGGAGAACAACAATCACATTATAGACCTCTGTGGCAGAGAACAGCTTCACCTCCAGCACATCAAAGGTGCAGTTTTTCAGGTGGTCAAAGGGAGGCGGCAGAGTTTCTTCAGCTGCCCCTCATCCGTCTTCGCTTTTGCTCATCAGTTCTCCTCATCACTGTCATCTGGGCTGATGGCTGGACTGTATGTGGGTGATGTGGGGCTATATCCAGGGGAGGTGGGGCTGTAGGTTGAGCCTTTGGGACTAGTGGGTGAGTATGTGGGCGATGTGGGGGAGTACTTGGGTGAAGTCGGGGAGTACGTTGGGGAGGTAGGAGAGTATTTGGGGCTGGTGGGGGTGTAGGTTGGGGAGGTCGGAGAGTATGTGGGGGAGGTGGGGCTATATTTTGGCGTAGTTGGAGAATAAGTGGGAGAAGTGGGTGAGTACTTGGGTGATGTAGGAGAGTACTTTGGAGAGGTTGGGGAGTATTTTGGAGAGGTTGGTGTGTACTCCGGGGAGCTTGGGCTGTATGAGGGTGAAGTCGGTGTGTATTTGGGTGAGGTGGGAGAGTAGGAGGGAGAGCTGGGGCTGTAAGAGGGTGAGCTGGGCGTGTAGGTGGGGGATTGTGGTGTATAACGCGGACTGGAGGGAGAGTAGGATGGAGACGTTGGGGAGTAAGACGGGGAGGTCGGAGAATAGTTGGGGCTGGTTGGGGTGTAGTTGGGTGAGGTAGGGGAGTAAGAGGGCGATGTTGGAGAGTAGGAGGGTGATGTTGGGGAATAACTAGGGGAAGTGGGCGTGTAATTGGGTGACGTTGGGCTGTAGCTTGGACTAGTGGGTGAGTAGGAAGGAGAGGTGGGAGAATATGAGGGCGACGTGGGGGAGTAGGAAGGAGATGTGGGAGAATATGACGGTGAAGTGGGGGAGTAGGAAGGCGAGGTTGGGGAGTAGCTGGGTGATGTTGGGCTGTAGCTTGGTGACGTCGGGCTGTAGCTGGGTGATGTTGGAGAGTAGGACGGAGACGTGGGGGAGTAAGAGGGCGATGTGGGCGAGTAGGATGGAGACGTTGGCGAATAGGAAGGCGATGTGGGCGAGTAAGAAGGAGAAGTTGGAGAGTAGCTGGGTGAGGTGGGGGAGTATGATGGAGAGGTTGGACTGTAGTTGGGGCTGGTTGGTGAGTAAGAGGGAGAAGTTGGGGAGTAAGAAGGGGATGTGGGAGAGTAGCCCGGGCTCTGTGGGGTGTAGCCTCCTGGGGAGCGAGGTTCGTAGGCTGGGGAGGTGGGGGAGTAGTTGGGTGACATTGCTCCACCTAAAAACAAAAGTTGTTCTTTGTTTAACCACATTCATACAAACTATACTATGGAGAAAAAAAAATCATGTGCATGTGTTACCTGGAGAGGGGATGTACGGACTGGCAGGTCCTGGAGATCCTGGAGACCCAGGAGTGGGAGACCAAGCAGGGGAGTAACCTGGAGAGAAGCCACTTGCATCTGATGCTGCACTGGGAGAAAAACCTGCAGCTCCAGGAGTCATGCCGCTTCCTGGAAAGGGAAACAAATGTCAATAATTAAAACAGAACAAGGAAAACCAATTGGATGGAAGAAAAACCCGGACATATACCCACCAACACTAGGAGACCAGGCACCGTAGGCAGGTGTAGCTCCTGTGTTCCAAGGAGTCATTGCAGGTGACATGCCACTCATGGGGCTTGGCATGGTGCCAAAGAACATTCCAGTGGCTGTCAGGAGAAGAGAACCAGGATATTAAATATCAATGTTCTTAAAAACATCTACAAAAAAAATATGGACAAAATCTCTCTACACTTACGTCCAGCCACGCTGATGCCAGGTATGTTGGTGGGAATCTCCATTCCATATTTACACTTCTCAGCATCCAGGAGCAAATCAAAACAGCCGGTACCAGCTGGAGCCAGCTGTCCGAGCATGATGTTCTCAGACACACCCTTCATGGGGTCACTTTCACCATGTGAGGACGCCTCCATCAGTACATCCACCTGGAGACAAGGGTGCAAAGACATTGAAAACAATGTTATGGTCAAACCGCTCCCAGCTGATAAAAGAGTCAGCTGTGGATCATCTTCTCACCGTCTCCTCAAAGGAACACTTCATCAGTGGCCCTGTGTCTTGACGGTTGATGCCGTGACGCGTGATGGCCATCAGGTGACCGCGGCAGGTCATTGTGTCACAGAGCAAAGCCAAGTGACGGTAGTTGACGTAGGAACCGTCAAAGGATATGACGTGGTACAACTCCCTCTCCAGAGCCTTTCGTACAGCTTCAATGCCCAAGACCTGTGTCAGGGGAACAGTAGGAGAGACAAAATGTTGACTCCCAGAAAACCTGATAAGTGTGGCTAATAAGATGTAAATAACTTTTTAATAAAAAAATAACTTTTTTTACCGTGAAAATCTCTACAATGTCATTGGAGGTGGTTCTGACGGGATCTACGTCCTTCTCACTTAGTACTCTCATCAGACTCACTCCGTCTGTCTCAAGGATCCACTCTTGCAGGGCCTTGAACTCTCCTTCTTCTGTGATGATGATCTTCTTCTTATTGTCAGTCTGAGGCAAATGCATGTACACCTAAAAGTACAAAAACAAGTGTTAACTTTGTCCCAGAATGTCACAATAGTGCGTTCTCTGTCTCTGTAGAACCTCATTCTCAAACTATGTACCTTGCAGATCTGCTCAATGCCCTGTAGGGTCATGTCTGTCAGCATGTTGGACTCAATGCATCTCAAGAAAACATCATCATCCATTTTGTCCACCACCTCTTCATCCTGGAGGCAGAAACAGTTGTGAGTGAAGATATATCTAGTTTATTTAATTAAGGTTTGGCTTTTCTTTTGCTTTTTCTTAAAAGCCAAATGTGTTTAGAATATTTAAAATGAATACTAACATCTTGAAACTTGTTCTCGTCGCTGTTCATTATTCTGATTCTCAGAACAAGCTTCTCAGCATTGTCGTCATTGAAGATGCAGTTCAGGTCATCTCCGAAACCTTCAAGAGAGACCACCATGATAAATTCATAAGTGCTCTTTCTGTCTTTAACTTTAACTACAGTGTACGGACACGTGTAACTAACACACCTGCATTGATCTTCTCTGCAATCTGCTCCATGGTCAGCTTGCGGTCAGTCATGTGCCTGCGGTCCAGCTCGATACGCAGCAGCCAGGGTGAAATGCGGTTTACATCAAAGTCGGGCATTTCATAGTAGACGTTCACCCACTCCTGGTCCTCAGTCACCACTGTGTTCTGGGGGTTGGGGTCGTAGTAAATAGCAGTGTTGGCTGTCAACTGAAAAAAGAACAACAGTAGTTGTTATGACATTAGACACATGGTATAGACTGTGTAGCTTTTAGAGAATGATAAAACATCTGAGCTGTCTGATTACTTACTTTCCGCAGTGTCGTGTGCTCCAGTCGACAGAGGATGTCCTTGGCCCTCTCTGCGTCACGTGCCGCCTGACCCAGCAGGAAGACGGTGAGAGAGGGAGTTTTGGGCCTCTTGGAGATGTTAATCAACTCCTTCAGACGTGGTACCCCAAGGGTTACGTTCTTAGCTGACACACCGGCGTAATGGAAAGTGTTCAGGGTCATCTGAGTGGCCGGCTCTCCCAGGGACTGAGCAGCCAGAGCACCGACCATTTCTCCAGGGTGGGCCTGGAAAAAAAAGTGAGGAACTTTTAATACAGAAACATCTTTGTGACATACGTACATACGTAGATGATATTGATTGTTAAGCTGGACTTACAATAGACTGATTGAACTTGGTCTCTATCTCTCCAAGGAGCCAGTCGAAAGCTTCGGTGGAAAGACGGAATTCCTCTGTCATGCGTTTGGAGCACAGCGTAGAGCGCAGGTGTATGTTGAAGAGCAGAGTGGCATTCTGTTGCGCCTGCCTGCTCAGTGGGTCATCACCATTTACAATCACCAGCTTCTTACTCAAATCCTTGACACCTGCAGGTCAAAATGCATATTCCAAAGATGAGGTGCATCAGAATTGTAACATCACATTATATTTCCTAGACTTGTGCTGTTTCTCATCTATCGGGAAAGATGAAGGTTCCCCATGTAGTTTAGCATGAGGTCAAGGTAAAATAAACTTAATTTTACTCTTTTTGTGGATCTTATGTCTTAGAACAGCTAGTTTTGAAAGCATTAACAGCCATTGGTGGCTGAAAGTCACTTTATTTATTTTGCAATTTTTATTCTTACCCTCGACAACTCTTAGTGGATTCAGGTCTGTTGGGGTACGAGGATTAATGCGGAAGATCTTCTGAGCATTCCAGATCATTCTGGCCAGGTTGCATGGCAGCACCACCTATAGGCCAAGGCGAAAATATTACAGCTTTCTTTTCTCAGCAGCTTTTTGTATGTGTTGCAGAGCAGTATTTGTTCGCACACAATTACTAACCTTGCTGTCT